CATGACCATTCTGAGAGCCTGCCATCGTACCAACTGATCATCGATGTACGTTTAGTTGTGTTCTTGGTTCGCTTATATAGGGAACGCGGTGCTATAACATAGGGGAGGAAATGGTTCCATAACTCTATATCCAGGATCGCTTAGCAGAATTGGGAAGTGGATTTGAGATCCCCATTCGGAAACACCTACGGTGGTACACATCTCATCTCAGATGGCCACTGCGACCTCAGTAAAAACCTCCTGTCGTCCTAGAGAACGCGTCAAGCACTTTCGAGACATCATTTTTATTATGATATTGTCGTGGCAATGGAACGATGACAATCGTTTGCAACACCAACAGCCCATTGGAAGAGCACAATGTCAAACGCTGGTCAGCTCGTTTCGAAAACGGTTTGAATCAAGCCTTGATCTATACACTCCCACAAAGTATTACATTACAGAAATAGACAGCAGGAGAACTTGTCATTTCTATTTACCGAGCGCACCAAAAAGAATTACTGGAAGTTTTGTTTACTGAACATGATAGTCCTCTACGATTATAACAGGGTTTATGCTCCTTTGAGCAAAGACTCGTCGATGTAAGTCAGATTGGAAGTGCAAGAAACAGCAAAGGTGTAGGAAGTGTCTCCTTTGCTGCTTCTGCCGGTCCAAGTCAGGGAGAGTTTGGGAAGAGGTGAAGTTGTTGCTTCATTGAAAAGAAGGCTTGACTTTTCTATATGACATCTTCGCTCAAAACGTTGATGAAGGGCGATCGAATCACCTCAGCTTCAAAAGAATTCGCTAACGTTGACTTTGACGTGCTGCCTATGAAGGTGTATTTCCACTTTTACCAGATGCTCACTCTGTTTTTCTTCTCGTGACATGGTAGCTCACTGCCAGAACTTGGATTTTTACAGTATACGTTAAAGAGAAACTTTTCCGAATCATTAGTCATTAATCAAGCTTAGTACGGAAAGGAACTTTGTGTGCTCAGTGTGATAGGTGCGGATGAGGTCATAATAGGCCACCGTCCAACCCGCAGGTTTCGACTATGGATGAGGAACGCCAACACCCAAGGATTGCATTAGTAAGCGTAAGTAAGCGCAGTGAGTGCATGTGGTTCACCGTTCAATCCTAGAAGACTTGTTTATAGTTAACCATCGAGAGATTTGCAGGACCTTCTAATTCGGCCCAAATGGAGCTCGTTATCCACTTGAAACTCCACGACCCTGTACGATGGATGAATCAATGTGGTGCTAGCGTCATGAAGAAGCCATTGGTTCCGTCGGCTCTCCATCATTACGGGAAATTAGCAAGTCTTCCTCAATGGGAGAGCCTGCTAGTTATGAAGAGTTGTGAGACGAAATGAATGAAATTATTTGCCTTGATCTCATCGCTGTAGACCGGGATGGCAAGTCCTTTCACAACCCCAACTTCTTCTCAACTGATTCTTCTGCCTTTGCATTTTTCCAAAGTACAATAATAAATGGAATTATGTTGCAGATTGTAGAGATGCTTTAGATTTGGACACGCAGAAGGCATGCTTTTATGAAAAGGTGGATGATACCCTGGTCAGAAGTGCGACTTGTAAGTATACGTAGAAAGGGAAATTAAACAGAATCTTTCCTGAATTTTTCGACGATTTGGACCTTTGTATACTATGAGCGTAATTTGTATAACAACCCCATTTGTGACTCAAAGTTCTCTAAGTAAGCGATCCTACATGGAAGAAATTCTATTTTCTCTTTTGGAACGCTCCTCTTCATTCAAAAGGATTGTCTTTTCACTGATGCATTCTTGTTCGGGGCGATTGTTAACGCAACAACTGGTTAGCGTTAGAGATGGCGGATATGTACACAACAACCGAATCGAGTCTTACCTCGATCTTATCGCTGAAGCTTCCCAGACCGCTCGGCCGCATCACTGAGAGACGCAAAGGAGTGAAAGTAGCAAAGCAGAAGCCAAATGGGAGGAAGAACACGATCAAAGGGAGATGCATGAATGCACTGAGACTCAAATTTCCGATCGGATATGAGTCATACATTTTTGGAAGATGCTTTGTCTGTTGCGAAATACCTTTTTGATAACATTTTTCGTCTGTCAAATAACATGGAGCAAATCGAGGTGTGAACATTTTATTATTCTGGTAGACTCGTACTCAGAACAAAGTAATTCTAATGCTTGGCACGGAAAACCAAATGGCTGAAGGAACCGTTGCCTGGAATAATATGAAACCAACGACAACAGTTTAATATCCTGGTGCTGTTCGAGGTGGAGGACAGTGATCGCAACCACCGCCGCTACCAGCTGCACCATTTTCTCCAGGACTTCCAGGTGCTCCAGGGTTACCTGGCGCTCCATCTGGTCCTGGGTCTCCTGGGGGTCCTGGTGGTCCGGGCTGTGAGCTTCCAGGAGCTCCTGGATTTCCAGGTGCTCCAGGTGGTCCTTGAGGTCCAGGTGGTCCTAAAATATAAATGTTGTTTGCATGTTTCAGAACATTTCCATAAACTATGTACCAAACAACGATAACTGACCAGCTGGTCCAGGAGTTCCGGGAACTTCGATAGTTTGTCCAGGTCTTCCTGGATTTCCGGGTGCTCCAGGTTGTCCGTCGTTTCCAGGGGGTCCTGGTGGACCGGGTGGTCCAGGAGGTCCAGATCCTCCGGACTGAGGGCTGTGGCCGGGAGCTCCAGGTGCTCCAGGAGGTCCAGGAGGTCCAGGGTTTCCAGCGGGGCCAGCAGGTCCAGGTGGGCAGTCAAAGCAGAAATCGGAAGCTCTAGGAGCGGCACTAGCACTGGCATCAGCTCCAGGTGATCCTGGGTTTCCTGGAGATCCATCTCTTCCGGGGTTTCCATCAGCTCCAGGTGGACCAGGAGGACCGGCAGCACCGATTCCGCAAGAGCAGCATGTACCGCCGCCACCGCCGCCGCCTCCTAAAAGAGTTTTAGATTGGCATTTCATGAGCTGCTCAATCCACAAAAAGAAAACTACCTCCGACGGCAGGACCTTCGGAGTATGTGCCTGCACCACGAGCTCTAGCAGGAACACGGAAGTGCTGCTGCCAAGTGTGTCTCTTGATACGGCTGTCTACTCCTTTTGCGGATTCAAACTAAAAACGAAACGCATTTCTCGATAACTTAAAACAAAAGCTGTTGCGAAACATAGATATTACAAAAAGAAAGAAATTCATGTGTAGAATTACCCGACGGAATTCGTCCCAAAGCCCATCAGTACGGTGACGGCAGAATTCGACCTGAGATAGATAGTTAAAAGAAGAAAAGGTTTTGACAAAAAACAGTGAAGATTTTAACAAAAAGAGATTGTACCTCATTCTGAAGAGAGGACTGTACATGCTGCATATAGTTATAGAGCATAGGGACGGCCACGATGGCAGTTAATGTGGCAACGGTGGAGATGGCAATGCCGAAGAAGGCAAGACGTTTGAGGCCCTCGGCCTCGGCTAACTTTGCCTTCTCGTCGGACATTGTGTGTCTGATCTACTCTAACGCAATCGCGCTTATATAGTAGAGACGTGGAACCGGTCTCACTGACGATTAGCAGTGAACTGGTAGCGCCAACAAGGTACGGTAGGCAGCCCCCGAGCGCTTCGTGGGAGCCGTTAGCCCCCTCGACCGAATTACTAATGTTAATCATCGGAAAGATAATGAGCGATAAGCAATTATCTGCTTACTCACACTGTATATCACTCTCCTTCAGATGTTTTAATGGGAAACTACAGACCTAAATCACAGTAAACTAAACGCATATGTTAACTATAAAATTGGTCTCATAGAATTGTCGTAGCAATTTGGAAACCTGAGTGCGGTATCATTGCGAAAGTTTCTTTTGGAAAGAAACCTTCACTATTGAGTTCGCCTTAACTGGTGTGGGGTTAGAGCATTGGGCCAAATCAAACTTGGAGAACGAAGCACAAACTGCGACTTTCCTTAATAGGTCTGAGAGGGTTTTTTTTGAGTTCATGTCTTCGTAAATTTTCGGCTCCTACTGGATCTCAGAGATCCGTAGTTGATTGATGAAGAGGTTGATGAGTATGGAAAGATCTCACCTTATGACTTTCCCAGTGAATTTCTAGAGGCTCTTGCATTGTCAAAGAAACTTCAGTGCTTGTTTAGCGTCGCTTTGAGCTGCGGCGACGGATTCGATTTCCAATGAAGATTTAATAGGCTTCTCATTGTGTAGCTACAATTCCACAGTAGAAAGTACCGTACCGAGTAATCGGATTTATTTGTGCAGCGCCATAGCCTAGTTTTTTTTGCCAGCTTCCTGGTATATCTTTGTTGAAGCTGAAGCACACCACGATTCATTCAACAACCTATGAAAGCTTCATCGCCATCTCATAATCAAATGAAACTATAGAACCAACTTCAAGTCGTTCTCTGAAAGATATCGTCTTCAATAATCTAAAAACGATATCCTCTCAAAGAACTAGGAAAGGTGGCCTTTAGAAGCTGATAAAAGAGCCCTTTGTTGATGTAGTCTCAGCTTTCATCGAACAGGCGGAATCTATAAATCCCACTTTCCGCCTTATCAGAGGTCCTAATATTTCTCCTTAAGTGTATCCGAGGAGAAAGTCCTATCGAAATTTATCTAACCGTTATGCATGGCGCGCGTTCGGCAGAACCTGTTTATGGCTCACGCAATTCACTGCTCGTTCTTCTCCAACCCATGTCGACTTCATGCAAACAATGATCCTTGTTCGGAACCGTTACCAACTGTTATACTCCTCTAACAGCCATGTACAAACAGCCTCAATGGGCAATTGTGAGGGCAGCTCTATAACTAATGATCGCTATGAAAAATGGGAGGTAAACATTCATCGCCAAAATCTAAGACTTGTAAATTTCTAGTTGCCACTACATATTTCCCCGTTCAGCGGTGAATCACCTTTAGCAAAGAGATTCGAGGGATAAAGTCCTTGTGTCACTGCTCAG